TACTTCATTTGGCACAATTTGATATTGGGTGAACAGAGAGGGCTTGAAATCTGACATTTGGTATTAAGGTCGCTGTTCATGTGTAGCTTGCGCATATGGAGGTTGTTTCGGAAAATGTGTGCTATAACTATACGAAAAGAACTAAATGGTGCTATATTTGGTATTGAGTGAAGGGATAGAGATAAAATTCTGAAATTTAATCTTTAGGTAACTGATTGTATCTGTGTTTGAAATTTGGCAGTGGTTGCGTGGAAATGATATCTGGGACAGAGATATAGAGGTGTTTTGGAAAATGTGTGCTATAATTGTACGAAAAGTACTAAATGGTACTAAATTTGTCATATGCTGTTTTTGTCATATGCTGTTGTACCGATTCCGAACTTCGAATACGATATTTAAAACAATTCCGATGAATAATGTCGCTAATATTATAAAAATACCTATAAAGGGAGGTACCGGTTCATTTGAGCTGTACAAAAACGTGGACATAGAAAATTTTCTGTCATAGCTTGCAGTACCTATTGCAAACATCAAATATGAAAATTTTAAAAATTCATGTGAATAATGTCGATAAAATAATCAAAACATCGAAATCGGGACGTATCGTTTTATGGGGGCTATACGAAGTATGTGATTTTTTGTCATAGGCTTAAATACCCATTAAGATCTTCAAAAACGAAATTTGGGAGGTACCGTTATATGGGGCCTATACAAAAAGGAGGACCGACATGGTCCATTTAGGAACTTATCTTGCCTACAGGCAAAATACACATTTGTGCAATATTAGCCTTCTATACCAATTCGTTCGAAAGACAGCGTGGTTACAATAGACGAACGGCTAAATCGACTTATGATTTTACGCGGATCCATAATATATTTACTTTGTTGGGTCTATCAAGATTATTTCGAGGAGTTAAAAACGGAATGAAAGAGTTATTATGGGCGTCATATAATGTCCTAAAAAGAACTGTTGGAACGAACCCAACATTTTCAGGCGACTTTTCGCTGACGAATTAGGGGGCACTTGCTAGTATGGGAGAGGGACGAGAGGGATGTACCACGAGTGTACCTGTATTGCTCATTTTGGAACTCCATCTAACGTTAATAAAAATATTAAAATAACTTGCCTAGATTGACTTTAGTTTGCCAACATCAATTTCACCCAAGGCCACATGGGGTCTAAACCATTATTTGATGAGTAACATTTTGGACGTATCAAATAATATATTCCTTATACCTTACAGTATACTAAATGTTAATCGCAGCGATTATCAACTGCCACTGACTATGTCATTATCAAATTTGCAAATTTTTGATTTGACAATTTGATAAATTGACATTTCTTAGAATTTTATTGAAAGTAAAAATCCCCATTTCACCAGACCAGCTGTCGTTTGACTAATCAGTAGCAAGGCTATTCGATTATATACCCCGTACTTGAATGGGTTTATTGAGGTCATAAATTGGTTCAGGTGGTAACTCTTTCGGTTGAGGGTGTTCTAATGACTTTTTTTTTTTGTATGAAAATGATATGACAGCAAATTTTTGGCAGGAAATATAAAACTGCTGTATATATGTGTATTTGTGAGCTTGAATTGTGTGTGTGTGTGTGTGTGAAAGTCATACTCCAAATATTGAATTTTTCAAGTCGAAAATTGATTTTGAATGTAATTTTTAATTCCTTTTTATGCCCTCCACCATTCTATGGAAGGTACATTAGCTTTGTCATTACGTTTGTAACTCCTCGAACTACTCATGACAGACCCTACAAAGAAGTATATATTATCTGGATCAGCGTAAGATTCTAGGTCGATTTAGCGTTGTCCGTCTGTCTGTTGTAATCACGCTATCTTTCGAACGAATTGAGATAGAAGGCTAAAAATTTGCAAACGTGTGTATTTTGCCAGTAGGCAGTAGATTAAGTTCGTAATGGGTCATTTCGGCCCACGTTTACATATAGTCCTCCCTGTTTTCGGTATTTTGATGATTTTTTACGGCATTATTAACCGGCATTTTTTCATGTTTCGTATTTGCACTTCGTAGTGTATACTATAGTCTGAGACAGAAAGTGCGTATGCATGACCACCACCATACAGCTGTACCTTCCTATATTCGGTATTTTAATGATTTTAACAGTATTTTTTAACCTACACCACAAGGTGGTCAGGGTATTATGTCTTTGTGCATTTGTTTGTAACAGGCAAAAGGAAACGAGATAGACCACCAAACGTGTAATATTAGCCCGAATATTATGGAATTTTGCACATACAACCAAATTAGGCCTGAAAATAAGTATGCCAAATTTGATCGAAATCGGTTCAGATATAGCTATATCTCCAATATACATTGTTCATCCGATTTGTTATTTTAGTCCTCCGCACCCGTAATATGCATATAACTTCGTCCGGTTTACTTTTTATTGTGCACCAAACTTCTAATATTTGCCCAAATGGGATGAAATTTGACACTTACGACCGAATTAAGTCTAGAAGCTAGAATGTCAAATTTGGTGAAGATCGGTTCAGATATAGCTATAGCTCCCATATGTATTGTTCATCCGATTTGTTATATTTGTTACCCACAGCCGTAATATGCACTCCGTAACAACGATATACAGGGAAATATACAGCTATACAGCTCGGAAATATCTTTGCCAAATTTTATCAAGATCGGTTCAGATTTAGATATAACTCCCACATATATAAAATTGCCAATACAAGTCCGAATTTAAAAGATACAAATGCTTCGGCATATTTAGTCTTTTAAACTTTAAATTATGATTATAATCATAGCGTGTATGATTGAATTCTCCCATAAGAACTTTCAATTGTTATGCGGAGCTCTATTAAATTAGCAAAGTGGTGTAGGTTATCATAAAGTCGGCACCGCCCGACTTTAAGACTTTCGTTACTGGTTTAACGTTCTTTTTTTGAAAATCTCCAAATTACTGGAACTTACTGTTTATACGCGATATCACATAGTGGTAAGGGTATTATGAGAAGTAAGCGAATCACTTTCTGAATCGATTTATGCATGTCAGTACGTCCTACCGTCCATCTGTCCATGTATTTTTGTGAACAAAGTGAGGGTCACATTTATCATCCGATCGAGATGAAATTTTCCAAACAATATATGTTTGGCCCAAGGACGAACCCTATTGAAATTGGTGGGAATCGATTCACATTCAAAAGTAGCCATCCATATATATCTACCAATCGATTTCGGGTTGCTTGTGCACCAAATGACCAAAATCAGTCTAAATTTCCTGAATTTTGGTTAATATATAGCTATATATAGGTTTCACCCGATGTGGGGGTTTAAGACCCTCGCATGCGTAATATGCACTCGACATGAATGATATTTGGTACCAGATAACTTATGGAGCTCAAAAATACATCTGACAATTTTTATCGAGATCGGATGAGATAAGGATACAGCTCCCATATACAAGGTGAGATAAAAAAACTGCAACCAACTTCAGACTGCTGTCATTTCTAAGCCACTCGTCCGACAGCTAGTAAAATTATTCCAGTGACAGCTCATTATATTGTTTACATGCGTACAAAAGCATTTTGCTGAGAATTTTCGAGGAAAAAAAAACGATATTCGTGATGGAATTCAAGCGTGATAGTGTGATTTCTCTATATATTTGGCTGGAAAACCACAAGTAGCTCTCGTCGGAGCACTCCAGCTATTAAATGTGAATAAATCTTTTGTGGCTTGTTCCATCGCTCGTTACTGTGATACTGGTAGCATAGCCCTTACGTCAAGGAAGTGGACGGAAGAATACAGCAACATCAGCAGAAATGGTTCAAAAAGTAAGGAAGCGACTTGATCGAAACGGGCGTCGCAGTGGCCGAAAAATGCCTCGTGAGCTGAATATATCGCAATATTCCATTCGGCAAATATTCACAAATGTGCTCAGGGTAAAGCCATTGAAATTCCAAAAAGTACAAGAACTTACACCGCAACAGAAAGAAAATAGACTCAAAAGAGCTAAAGAGTAGCCGCGCTTGGCCGAAAGTGGTGAAATGCCAAATCTAGTTTTCACCGATGAAAAAACATTCGTTGTCCAGCAAAATGAGATCAGCTGAAAATGTGCACTTTCGATTGGCTACCACAACTCAAGCGCCGGCCATGGTGATGGTGTGGGCCGCCATAACAGCCTAAGGTCGCTCTCCGCTCATATTAATTGACCGTGGCATGAGAATAAATGCCGAATATTATCGTGAAAATATTCTGGAGGGTGTATTAATGTCTTGGGCACGCAAACATTTTGGCCGCAGATCTTGGACATTCCAACAGGACTCAGCACTCGCCACCCATGAATGGTTACAAAATGAGATTCCTCGCTTCATTTCCAGTGCATAATGGCCACCAAAATCTCCAGATACCAATTCGTTGGACTATTGTGTCTGGAGTATTTTGAAAAGCAAGGTTGGCTCTAAAAAATACCAAGGTGTCGATCTCCTCAAGCAAGCGTTTCGCCGGGAATGGGTCAAAATACCGCAGAGCAATATTTGGGCTGCGTGTGACGGTTTCATTGACTCGTTGAAGGCCATAGTTCGTGCCAAAGGTGACCAATTCCAAACAAATCTAAACTTATTCCAAAATTTGATGGTATTTCCGACCTTTTTTTTGCTTTCATCCAATAAAATTTAAAAAAAATGTAAAAATTACGCCGTTTGACTTTGTTGCAGTTTTTTTTATCTCACCCTGTATATTTTTAAACTATAAAAAATGAACACATGTAATATTCGAATGATGTCAAGCCTGCTTAAAGTAAGTGGGTCGCTTAGAAGCTATACCGATTTTTTCATAAAGTTCCCAGTGGCGCCCAAGCACCCACATATTGTATACCAAGTAATGCAGCAATTGTTTTTCTTTTAATTCAAAATATATTGAATTTATATAAAATATTTTTAAATACAAATTTCATACTTTTCTACCATCCTTCTCTTCTCTCATCCCTCTCTCAAATAATTTTATTTTCTACTCTTCCCATTTCTTGTTGTCATTTACAATTAAGCTAATATCTCGCTAACATTTAATAGATCACTTGGTAAGTGGCCAACAGCTTTGACAAAATCTCCAACATGACAGGCATACAAATATCCCTTTTTCAAATTCCGCCTGTCCTTGTTGTTGTTGTTATTGTTGTTCATCCAACGCAACCAGGCAACCTGCTCTTGTATATCGTCACAGATTACATACTCCGAGCTGATTTCATTTAAACTGGCATGGGGATTATTTACACCGACCAAGACGATGCCCTGGTTACGCTGACTATTGACCAGCAGACGATAATACAACATTGGAACGGGTAACAGACCATTGTTGTTGTCATCTCTGGCCAAATAGAAATCACGTTGCTGTGGTGGAAAGGCACTGACATTAGTGGTGGTATCGGTGGTGGTGGTGTTGGTTGCTGATTGTGGAGCCGGCAACCTCATAATACCCCAGGTACCCGTATAACACAGGATTCTCTGCCCGGACTTGGCTGCATACTTACGCACTGCATCCTCCAATGCCGCCCATTGGCCACCATTGAAACCCTGCTACTGTGGAGCGGCATTAAAGAAATTAAAGGTAGACCTCTGCTGGCTGGCATAGATGTAGTCCGCCTTGGCCGCCAAATGGCCTCGGGCCAAAAACAGGGTGTTGTTATCGAAGAGATGCCGAACATGTTGTTGGCCCTGCAATGCCACAGCTGCCTGCTGTTGTTGATTGTAATGCGAATAGAGGTGATTCATGTTGAAGCCCTGGAAGTAGCCAGCCTTGCTGAAATTTAAGCGCTTTACCGATTTCTGGAAATGAATGCTGGCCGGCAACAATACATGTTCGACATACAATGTTCGCAGCTGGGCGGGCTCATAGCAGATACGCATAGTTTCCACAAATCGATTGCTGCTTACGTTGAAGCCAACACGGTACATTTCAGCCGTGGCCGTTGTCCGGTCATCTGTCATGGCTGGACATTTTTCATGCAGTTGTTCGACCCGATATCTGGTGGATCTCTCACAGATGAATTGCCGAAATTCATATTTTTCTCCCTGCCACAAGAAGCTCTTGTCGTGCAGGCATCGTGGCCGTATTGTTCGGGTGTTCTTTGCAATGCGAAAGATGTTGCTGATGTCGTGTGGTGGGAGTGTGCTGCTATGGTTGCTGCTGTTACTGGGGCTTGTTCGATTCTTGTTGTGTTGGTGTTTCTCCTTGTGTTCCGCCCTCTGTGCCTCGGTGGAATTGGCAAATGATTTCGTACAATGTAGTTCAATGACAGCCCCACGTGGTATTTCCAATTGTCCATGGTCGTTGGGTAACCAGAATTGATTTGTATCTGGCATAAGGTAGAGCGGCTGCAATTCATTTGGTCGAGGAAAATCCTTTTGCACGTCCAGCAGACATGGTGGTCCTGAAAAAAGAAGAAGCAAAGCAAGAAAAACAGAATGCAAAGATGAGAACACAACAAGAGCAAGAAGTGTGAAAATGAAGCAGAACGTGAAAATGTGATAAATTATGCTTGGTTTCGTTAATTATTGCACTGGGTCATTATGCTGCTGCCCAGGAGGAATGCTGCATGGAAAATTGAAAACAATGCAATTGAAATGTCATCGATGGGAGGGGGAGATGGGCTGGGAAATGCGTAATTAATTAACAAGAAGTAGGGAAAGCTTTAAATTTGGTCAAATGAATGGTTTTAGATTTTTTTGAATCATTTCAAATTGGGCGCCATGTGGGAAAAAAATCTGTCTTGTCTTAAAAGTATTTAAAAAGCCTTCAGAACAAAAATGATGAATTTTTAAAGGATCTCCTGATCAAAAACCGTGGATTTGGATGCGTAGAAGGGTTTGCAGGAAAAAAATCGTAGAATTTTTTAAGACATATTTTGAACGACCTACATTACCAAAAAACATAAATCTCCCTAAGAATAATTTGAAGGGATTCCGGATCAAAAATCTTAAATTTGTTAACGTACATTTTGAAGGACTTCCTGGAGAAAAAGGGGGAATTTTCCTGAAATTAATGAACAACCTCTTCACCCAATTTCTTGAGTTTTAAAGAATATTTTGAAGGACTTCGATAACAAAATTTGTGTTTTTTACGAAAATTTTGAAGGAACACCTGATCAAAGGTGGCTGAGTCTTTGATAATGTATTGAAGGATCTCCTGACAAAACAAATCGTGGATTTGGATGTCTGCCAAGTTTTTTTGGACAAGAAAAAACCATCCTTATTTTAAGGAATATTTTAAAGAACATTCTAATAATTTTCTGGAAAAAATTGCCTTTTTGTGAAAATCGAGACTTCTGTGAAGAAACTTAAAAAAAAAATCTTAAAGAAGTTTCTGAACAAAAATAGTTGTTTTATACCCTTCCTTCTACATGTTTGTAACATGGAGAAGGAAGCCAGATGACCCATAGATACTTTTGAGGATCTTCATATAATCACTTTCTGAGTCGATTTATACATGTCAGTCCGTCTGTCTGTCCATGTATTCTTGTGAACAAAATTCACTAAATAGCTTCATTTTGGCATATTCGACCGAATTCGGTCTAGAAGCAAGTACATAACATTTGGAGAAAATCGGATCAGATATATATGTTTAATCCGATTTGATGTTTTAGTCCCTCACATTCGTAATATACACTGCACAAGAATAATATTTGCTACCAGATATCAAATACCGCCCAGAAATACCTCTGTCAAATTTTATTAAGTCGTATTAGATTTGGATATGACTCCCATATACACCTTCGACCGATTTCGGGTTAATTGTGCACCAAATGGTCAATATCAGTCCAAATGACCAAATGATTTTGGTACATCCCACCGAATGCAGTCTAGAAGTAAGTAAACCAAATTTGGGGAAAATCGGTTCAAATATACCTATAGCTCCCATATATATGTTTCATCCGATTTGGGGTTTTAAGTCCCTCACATGCCCAATATGCACAAGAATAATATTTGGTACCAGATATTAAATACAGCCCAGAAATACTTCTGTCTAATTTTATCGAGATGGGTTCAGATTTGGATATAGCTTCCATATATATCCTTAATCTGATTTCAGGTTTATTATGCAAATAATGGCTAATATCAGCCCAAATGGAGTGAATTTCGGACGTACGTTTTCATTTGGTGGAACTTGGCTCCGATATATATTTATACCCTACAACACTATGTGTTGGGGGTATTATAAGTTTGATTGGGCCAGAATTTATGTAACACCTCGAAATATTGGTTTCCCATATAGGAAAGTATATATGGATCTTCCTAGCTCGCCGAGCTGAGTCGATCTAGCTATGTATGTCCGTCCGTCCGTCTGTCCGTCTGTCCATGTTAATTTGTAATCACTCTACAGGTCGCAATTATGGCCCGATCTTCACGAAATTTGGAATGGAGGTGGGGCTTAGGTCAGAATAGAACCCTATTTCTTTTGGAGATGATCGCATAATATTTAGGGGTTGAAATGGACCAAATACTGAAAAAATGTCGGATTTTGCAGTAGCTATACAGGTCGCAATTATAGATCAATCGACGCGGAATTTCGCATGTAGCTAGAGTTTTGGGCGGGGAAGAAGCCTACCAATTTGGTTGATGTTAACATCCAACAAATCGGATATATAGCAAAATATGTGCAATATATATGTCTATCAAAGAAGATATGCTTGAAAGATCTCTTATATGTCGAGAACGGCTGAACTGATTTCGACAGTTCTCATTAATTCAGAATGGCCTCTTGGCAGGAAAGAAAAAACGTCTAAAAAAATCTCATAAAAATATCTCTATGAAGATGAAAATATTGATATTTTAAAATTTTCTCATATTTTTTCAATTTTGTCATAATTTTGGCATATTTTCATTTTGAATTAAACATTTGGTAATATTTCTACAGCTAACAAAACTAAGTAGTTAGGATATCAGGATATCATATACAGATCGCATTTATGGCCCGATCCTTACGAAATTTTGCATGGGGATAAGATGAGGGTCAGAATAGAAGCCTACTCTTTTTGGAGATGATCGCCATATATTTAGGGGTTGAAATGGACCAAAAAACTGCAACATTATAAGCAGGTCGTAATTATCAACCGATCCTCACGCCCATTTGAATGGGGGTTACCGGACATTGCAAAAGCCAAGCAGTTTTGGATGGACATCCAAAAATATTCAATGTGGAAAATAGTTTGCCAACTTTTGTAGACAAAATACGAAAATGTCCATTCCAGTGACTTTTTGGAGAATTCACAAATACAGGAAAGACGCACTTCTGACTATTTCGTTAACGCTGATTTCGTTGAAGAATATAGTCAAATGGCTGTATCTCATATAGATGCGTTTCAGTCAAAAACCAATAATAAATGTTAATCTTTTGCCACTTCTGAGAGATTATAGGTCTTTGGGAAATATTGGTTCAATATCTTGGAAGACCATTTAAATTAGTTTAAGTTGCTATTACTCGAAAATTAGAGAACGAAACCTGATGGTTTTCTTTTTTTATTTGTCACAATATCTTGTGGAATTCTTTCGAGTATCTCGCCTATATAAACTGTATCGTTTATTATAGTGTTGTAGGGTATTCAACGGTCGGCCCCGCTCGACTGTAGCCTTTGCTTACTTGTTTCTGTATAAAATCCTTCTGGAAGTGATATCCTACACACTATAGCAATGATATTTGGTATAAAAGATTAAAATGTCTCCGTCAAATTTAGTGAAAATCGATTCAGAATTGGATTTGTCTTCCATATACCAAAACCAAACAATAACTGCTCTAAAGCCATAGGTTGATAGGTGGTATGATCTACATCAAATGAATTCTTTTGTTATGAGAGCTCAATTAAATATGCACAGTTGCACAGGATATCATATAGTCGGCCCCGCCCGACTTTTGACTTTTCCTTACTGGTTTGTATTATAAGTATACTAAAGATAAAGTACGAAAAGTACTAAATGGGTACTGGGCGAAATCTAAGTACTAAATAAAATAGTGCTTGAAATCTGAAATTTGGCATCAGTACTAAATGGTAGTAAATTTGGTGTTTTTTTATAAGGAATAGAGCTGGAAATCTATAATTTGGTATTTTAATCACTTTTTGTGCGGTGGTGTTAATATATGAAATTGAATTTGGAAATACTGACCTAAAAAGTATCAGAAGTAATAAATGGTATTAAATATCGTATTTGGAAAGTGATTGGGCTGAAAATCAAAATTTAGAAATAAAGGCGTTTGATGTTGTGCTTGATAGAAGAATAAAATATTTTTTGGAAATTCGAACTATAGAGTTGAAATTGTATATTTTTGCATTTGGATTAATTTTTGTGCGGTGGAATTGTAATAAGGCTAATTTGAAATTCAGAATAAAGGCCTTAAATGTTGTGTTGGTAGACAAGCCGAAGGTTTAGCGAAAATTCGAACAATAAGAGTTCAAACCAGTAAAGAAAGTCCTAAAGTCGGGCGGGGCCGAGTTTATGATACCCTACACCACTTTGCCAATTTAGTAGAGCAAAGAGGAGAATTTAATCATACACGCTATGATTATAATTATAATTTAAAGTTCAAAGGACTAAATATGCCGAAGTATTTGTATATTTTAAATTCGGGCTTGTATTGCCCATTTGGTGCACAAATTAATTGAAATCGGATAAAGATATATATGGGAGCTATATCCAAATCCAAACCGATCTCGATAAAATTTGGCAAAGATATTTCTGAGCTGTATTTGATATATTTCCTTGAATATCGTTGTTACGGAGTGCATATTACGGTTGTGGGTAACAAATATAACAAATCGGATGAATAATATATATGGAAGCTATAGCTATATCTGAACCGATCCAAATTTGACATACTAGCTTCTAGACTCAATTCGGTCGTATGTGCCAAATTCCATCCCATTTTGACAAATATTAGACATTTGGTGCACAATAAAAGGGAAATCGGACGAAACTATATATGGGAGCTATATCCAAATCTGTACCGATCTCGATAACATTTAGCAGATGTATTTCTGAGCTGTATTTGATATAGTTCAACAGATATTGTTGTTACAGAGTGCATATTACGGCTGTGGAGGACAAAAATAACAAATCGGATGAACAATATATATTGGAGTTATAGCTATATCTGAACCAATTTCGATCAAATTTGGCATACTTATTTTCAGGCCTAATTTGGTTGTATGTGCAAAATTCCATACTATTCTGACTGATATTACACGTTTGGTGCACAATAAAAAACAAATCGGACGAAGATATATATGGGAGCTATATCTAAATTTTGACCGGTTATCTCCAGTTTCAATAGGGTTCGTCCTTGAGCCAAACAAATGATTTGTGCAAAATTTCATCTGGATAGGGCAATAACAGCGAACTGTACTTTGTTTACAAAAATACATGGACAGACGAAAGGACGGACGGATATGCATAAATCGACTCAGAATGTGATTCTATGCAGATCATCAAAAGGAACTATGGGTCTATCTCGTTACCTTTTGCCTGTTACAAACAAATGCACAAAGTCTATAAAAAGGCAGAAGTTCGCCTTTCGTGTATTTTGGATTTCCCGTGTAAGTTATTTTCAGCGTTTCGGTAGAATGGAAATGTTGGCATTTTTTCACCCAAAAGGAATGGCCCATTCTTCTATTGTTCCTGCGAGATTTCGTGTCCTTTGGTTTCTATTTGTGACCTTTATAACGGCTGCAAAATCAGTAACATGTTTTGTTGTTTGCCCATTTTAACCCCTAAATTTATTGCGAACATCTTTAAAAGCAATAGGCCTAGCCCTTCTGAGCCTTACCCTACCCTTGTGAAAATTTTCGTGAGGATCGGACGATAATTGTAATTGGTATATAATAAACCCAACCTGTATTGTAAGGTGCAAAAATATTGCAAAATGTACACCTTAATATTATAACTGAAATTGAAAAAATCGCAAGCGCTAAAAAATATGAAAAAAAAATTAACCAAATTCTACAATATCTGTATTAGCGTCATTATTGGCATCTTTTTATGCAATTATTTTTAGATAGGCTAGCATCCATTACGAACTTCAAATACAAAATTTTAAACAATTCCGGTAAATAATGTCGCTAAAAAATAATAGACCTGCACAGAAAATTTTCTTTCATAGGCTGTAGTATCCATTACGAACTTCAAATACAAAATTTTAAATAATTCCGGTAAATAATGTCGCTAAAATCATCAAAATACCGAATATCGGAGGGTACCGTTATATGGGGGCTATACGAAGACGTAGACCTGCACAGAAAATTGTTTTTCATAGGCTGTAGTATTCATTACGAACTTCAATTGCGAAATTTGAAATAGTTCCAGTAAATAATGTCGCTAAAATCATCAAAATACCGAATATCGCGGAGAACCGAAGACGAAGACTACGAAGACGAAGACCTACGGGGGGTACCGTTATATGGGGGCTTTTACAACAAGAGGACATTCTGAATTGACGAAATTTGTCAAAATCGGTCCAGCCATTCTTGAGATATAATCATTCTAGCTAACATCCCGTTCCTTTGTATTTACACATTGTATATTTTCGCTATATATCCGATATATTTACCATCGGCATCTATGTAACTTTCAGAATTAACCTGTTCATCTTTTTGTGATTTTACCGGGATTAATAATATTCCCGGTTTAATGGAAAATTTGACTTTTATTGAACACAAACGTTATGGTCTATTTCAACCACTAAACATTACCCGATGACTATCAAAATTGGAAGGCTTGTGCCCAACCCTAAGCTCTACCCCCTTGCTAACATCCGCTTCGATTGGTCTATAATTGCGACCTGTAGAGAAACTGCAAAATCAGGCAATTTTTCAGTTTTTGGTCAATTCAAATAGTCAAAATCAATAGGCTTCTATTCTGATCCTAGCCCGACATCCGTTCTAAATTTCGTGAATATCGGGACATAATTGCGACCTGTAGAGTGATTACAAATTAACATGGACAGACGGAGAGACGGACGGACAAACATAGCTAGATCGACTCAGCTCGGTGAGATAGAAAGATCCATATATCTTTCCTATGTGGGAAACCTATATTTCGAGGTGTTACATAATTTTCGGCCCAATCAAACTTATAATACCCCCAACACATAGTGTTGTAGGGTTTAAAAATTTCATGGTACCACTTAAAAATTTGAAATTTCTCAAATCACTTCTATTTATTTCGATTGAAAACACCTTGTTTGAAAATACCATAACATACCAACTTTATTTTCTTGCTTTTAACATATATTCTGATTAATGGTCGATAATTTGTAACTTCACAGCATCGACATTAAATCTCACTGTACTCACCTTGATTTTCAATATTGGCGTCATCATGAATATTTAAATTATTCAAACGTTTCACAACATCTTCGACATCTTCAACGGGTTGAACTGCACGGCGGGCATCCACTGTTAGAATTGCGAAGATGAGAACAAAAATAATTCCCCCAGACAATTGCCAAGCGAATGTTACATTGCGTCCGAAAAACATGTTAACGCCAAAAACACCACAACAAGACTGCAGCAGCCAGTCCCAAAACTGGCCGACCAGCATTAACAGAGAGAGCGTGCACTGCTTGCTGGCTGGCTGGCTGACTACCGGGCTGCGTCTGCTTGCTAAAGATCTTTTGGATAAAAACAAAAAAAACAATTCGATTGTGTTTTTTTTTTATATTTTATAAGATTGGGTACAACAAAAACAACACACAATAGTGTGGATGTATAAAAAGAAAGTGTTAAAAAAACTATAAAAAAACGAAAAAAGAACGTGATACAAATTAATTAACAATTTTGTTGGAGTGATGCTTTAGTGTTCCATATGTTATTTTTAACTTTTTTAAAATTTAGGTTATTTGTATAGTTTTCGATTATGGTGTTTGTGAATTGTTGGTAGGTTTTTCGACTTTTGCTCAAATTTTTTTCCACCTATAGATGCGGTATTGTTGGAGTTTTCAGTTATTATATGGAAAGTGCAATAACCCCTGTGCCACACAAAACATAATCACAGGAAAATCCAGGAAATTAAAAATCTTCACTTTTTTAAGCATGAATTCCTCAATATTTTAAAATGGTCATAACTCCTTAGGTATTGAGTTTTCAGCGTTTTTAGCTATTATTTGCGATCACTTTTTATGTACAAATTTCTCAACATTTTAAAATGGCCATAACTCTTTAAAATCAAAACTCCAGGAAATTAAAAAAAAAGTTAAAAAGTATCAGTCGGTTTTGCCGACAGATGTATACCCTCAGCCAATGTTTGATTATTTAAATATATTTTGACTTCAGTTATGACTATTCAAATTGTTGACCCTCTATGGTGTAAGTTCCTAAGGAATGGGCCAATATTGTCAATTTCGTATCAGACCTAAATAAATATGATATAAATATTGCGATGTGCCAGCTTTGGACTATATCGACAACTTACTTCATTTTGTATGAGACATGTGATAATTTTTAGAAAATGTTCAAATGTGTGTAACCAAATATAGTGGACCCAAGCATTCCATTTGTATACTTCATCTAATACAGATAAAAATATTGGTATGGACAAAATTTAAAATTTAAAGGAAAGGACATTTATATCCAATTTTATGCGAAGTCATAAATTCAATATTGAGAGAAATATTTAGATATAGCAAGTTATAAAGAATCGCCAACTTGTTTCGCAAGTTTAGACAGATAAAAGTATCGAAAATTGTGACCCTTTGTGGGTGAGATACCAGAAGGGGTTCATCTTCACAACAGATCTTGTGTTAGCAAATATCTTTGTGTGTGTAAAATTTGAAGGGAGTTAAATGCTAATTTCACTTTTTTGGCCGTTTTGTTTTTCTAAATTTTGAATCCTGTGTGGGGGACGTACCAGAAGAAATGGTTCGATCTCTACAATTTGTATAACAGATCTTGTGTTGATGGAAATACTGAGATGTGTCGAGTCTGAATGGAACCGGATGTTAATTTCGGGTTTTATGAGCTTCATGGATATTCAAAATATCGACCCTTTGTGGGTAAGGTACCAGAAGGGGTGGACCGATATATATTCTATCTTTGCAGCAGATCACGTTTTAAGAAAAATAATCATATGTGTGAAATAGGAAGATAACCGGATGCTTATTTTGGATTTTATGATTGTCGTCGTTGTTCAAAACTTAGATCCTTCGTGGGGGAGGTACCACAAGAAAAGGTCCGATCTCTATCATCTTTATAGCAGGCGTAGTGTTGATAGAAATATTGCGATGTGCCAAGTCTGAATGGAATCGGATGTTAATTTCGGGTCTTATGAGCTTCATGGGTATTCAAAATGTTGGCCCTTTGTGGGAGAGGTTCCTGAAGGAGGGGACCGATATATTCCATCTTCACAGCAAATCTTGTTTTAGCAGATGCGTGTTAATGTTAGTATGAAGCGAACTAGATGCTTATTTCGGATTTTATAATCGTTGTCGTTATTCAAAACTTTGACTCTTTGTGGGTGAAGTACCAGAAGGAATGCACCGATTGGGTTAATAAAAATATTGTGATTTGAATAATTTGAAGACAATCGGACTCTTACATCACATTTTATTAGAGTTATATTTATTCCAAATTTAGAACATTTGTGGTGGGAGGTACTTGATGGAGTGGACCGATGTTGTCCATTGTCGCACCTGACCTAGAACTAATGCAAATATTAGGATTTTTAGGGTTTTAGCAAAATCGATTTATCCTTTCTGTCTCTGTGCAGTAAAATATTTTCTATGAAAATTATGCCCTTTTGTGAGAGAGGTAAAATAAAGAGTGGACCGATTTTGGCCATCTTTGAACGCGATCTAAATTTGACCCTAATATTATGATGTACCAAATCATATACTTCCTTCGAGAGTTATCGTGCGCACCAGCCAGACAGACAGACGGACGGACATCTCTAGATCGACTCCAAATGCTCCGAAACAGATTTGATCCAAAGAGACCTAGGGTCTACATCCGTTATTTCGACCAGGCACGTTTTATTGAATGAAAGCAAAAATGTCGGAAATAGCATCAAATTTTAGAATAAGTTTAGATTTGTTCGAATTGGTCACCTTTGGCACGAATTATGGCCTTCAAACGGCCAATGAAATCGTCTCACGCTGCCCGAATGTTGCTCTGCTGTATTTTGGCCCATTCCCGGCGAAGCGCTTCCTTGAAGTGATCGACACTTTGGTATTTTTTAGTGCCAACCTTGCTTTCCAAAATACTCCAGACACAGTAGTCCAACGGATTAGTATTCGAAGATTTTGGTGGCCATTGTTCGCTGGAAATGAAGCGAGTAACCTCATTTTGTAACCATTATTGGGTGGAGCGCACAGAGTGCGATGTACTGAATCCTTTTGGAATGTCCAAGGTCTGCAGCCAAAATGTTTGCGTGCCCAAGGCTTTAATACACCCTCCAGAATTATTTCACGATAATGTTCAGCATTTATTCTGATGCCACGGTAGATTAATACGAGCGGAGAGCGACCATCGGCTGTTATGGCGGCCCACACCATCACCATGGCCGGCGCTTAAGTTCTGATGGCCAACCGAAGGTACACATTTTCACCTGACCTCTTTGGCATGTAAAAACGATCATTTTGTTTGTTTACAAACTGCTGGACAACGAATGTTTTCTCATCGGAGAAAACCAAATTCAGCAGTTCACCACTTTCGGCCAAGCGAAGCAACTCTTTAGCTCTTTTGAGTATATTTTCTTTCTGTTGCGGTGTAAGTTCTTGCAACTTTTTGGATTTTTTATTGGCCTTACCCCGAGCTCATTTGTCAATATTTGCCGAAGGGAATATTGCGATATGTTCAGCTCACAAGTCATTTTTCGGCCACTGCGACGAGGTTTTCGATCAAGTCGCTTTTTTTAATTTTCGAACCATTTCTGCTGATGTTGCTGTTTTCTTCCGTCCATTTCCTTGTCGTCGGGCTACGCTACCAGCATCACGGTAACGAGCAATGGTACGAGACACAAAAGATTTATTCACATTTAAATTCTGGAAGGCTCTAGCGATAGCGACTTGTGGTTTTCCAGTCAAATATTAAGAAATCACACTATCACGCTTGAATTCCATCACGAATAATTTTTTTTTCCGGAAAGTTCTCACCAAATTGCTTTTGTGCGCTTGTAAACTATATAATGAGCTGTCACTGGAATAATTTTAATAGTTGTCGGATAAGTGGCTTGGAAGTGACAGCAGTCTGAAGTTGGTTGCAGTTTTTTCATCTCACCCTGTATATTATCACTTTAACATGAGTATTTTCCCAGGATAGGTAAATGGTCTATGGAACCCTTAAGCATAACACCGACAAATTGTCTAAGATACAGTGTTTGAAGGAATAAATGATGCAATTTAAAACAAGCTGCGAATAATGATGTCAAATTCCGCATTGATTTACACTCAAATTAATGTTCAGTTTGAACGGTATTTTATCGGTTACTTCCGCATATAATATTTATGTGTTTGCTTATCATTATTTACTGTCGTTTTCTATTTATGCTACACATTGTCTCAATCTGTTTTGTTTTTATTCGTAACACATTGTTTTATTTGCTTTTAAGCGTTTAGAGATATAAAAAACAAATATTGAGAAAGGTCATGATCAGTAAACTATTTGAGTTGTATGAAGAAGATCAATAACATATTTGGGTTGTATGACATAAAACGAACGATACCGTCACCCACGCCACTCTGTGGTATCTCACAAGTCTATAATTCTTGCTTTAATTTTGAAATTTCAAATGCAGGAGTGGGAGTGAGTCAAATTATCTTCCAAAATGCTTTCGAATTTCGTACGTGTATTTAATTATATAAAAATTAATAAATATATTTATTGATATAGAATAAAAATATGATTTAAATCCAGCCGAACTTTCCAGAATCAGAATTTTTTACAAATGAATTCCATCCAACATTTCTTTTATACGTTTCCAAAATGAATCTTCTATTTTCGAATGCGTTTTATCATTGACTGCTGTCGAATTTGTTTCCGGCAGTGTTGTGGTATTGCTTCCAGGAGGCAAGGTGGTCGTATTCACTGGGGGAACCCAGGTGGTATTGCTCTCTGGGGGCAGTGTCGTGGTATTTACTGGAGGAACCCATGTGGTATTGCTCTCAGGAGGCACTGTGGTCGTATTCACTGGAGGAACCCAGGTGGTGTTACTCTCTGGAGGCAACGTTGTCGCATTTACTGGAGGAACCCAGGTGGTATTGGTCTCAGGAGGCAGGGCCGTAGTGTTCACAGTGGGAACCAAAGTGGTATTGCTCTCAGGAGGTAACGTTGTCGTATTTACTGGAGGAACCCAGGTGGTATTGCTCTCAGGAGGCAAGGTTGTAGTGTTTACTGGGGGAACCCAGGTTGTGTTACTCTCTGGTGGTAAAGTTGTGGTATTTACTGGGGGAACCCATGTGGTATTGCTCTCAGGAGGCAAGGTTGTTGAATTTACCGGGGGAACCCAGGTGGTATTGCTCTCAGGAGGCAACGTTGTCGTGTTCACTGGGGGAACCCAGGTGCTGTTACTCTCTGGGGGAAATGCTGTAGTATTCACTGGAGGAACCCATGTGGTATTACTCTCAGGAGGTAAGGTTGTTGAATTTACCGGCGGAACCCACGTGGTGTTACTCTCTGGAGGTAGAGTGGTAGTATTTACTGGAGGAACCCATGTAGTGTTATTCTCTGGTGGTAAAGTGGTGGTATTCACTGGGGGAGCCCAGGTGGTATTGCTCTCAGGAGGAAAGGTTGTAGTATTCCCTGGAGGAACCCAGGTGGTATTACTTTCAGGAGGCAAGGTTGTCGTATTCACTGGGGGAACCCATGTTGTGTTACTCTCTGGTGGTAAATTTGTGGTATTCACTGGGGGAACCCATGTGGTATTGCTCTCTGGGGGCAAGGTGGTCGTATTCACTGGCGGAGCCCAGGTGGTGTTACTCTCTGGGGGCAACGTTGTCGTATTTACTGGAGGAACCCAGGTGGTATTGCTCTCTGGGGGCAAAGTGGTCGTATTCACTGGCGGAACCCAGGTGGTATTGCTCTCAGGAGGCAAGGTTGTCGTATTCACTGGCGGAACCCATGTGGTATTGTTCTCAGGAGGCAAAGTAGTTGTATTTACCGGCGGAACCCATGTTGTGTTACTCTCTGGGGGCAAGGTTGTGGTATTTACTGGCGGAACCCATGTGGTGTTACTCTCTGGGGGCAACGTTGTCGTATTTACTGGAGGAACCCAGGTGGTATTGCTCTCTGGGGGCAAAGTTGTAGTGTTGACTGGAGGAACCCAAGTGGTATTGCTCTCAGGAGGTAACGTTGTAGAATTCACTGGAGGAACCCAGGTGGTATTGCTCTCTGGGGGCAAGGTGGTCGTATTCACTGGCGGAACCCATGTGGTATTATTCTCAGGAGGCAAAGTGGTAGTATTCACTGGAGGAACCCAGGTGGTATTATTCTCTGGGGGCAAGGTTGTGGTATTCACTGGAGGAACCCATGTGGTATTATTCTCTGGTGGTAAAGAGGTGGTATTAACTGGCGGAACCCATGTGGTATTACTTTCAGGAGGCAAGGTTGTAGTATTCACTGGAGGAACCCAGGTCGTATTGTTCTCAGGAGGCAAAGTGGTAGCATTCACTGGAGGAACCCATGTGGTGTTACTCTCTGGTGGTAAAGTGGTGGTATTCACTGGAGGAACCCAAGTGGTATTACTCTCAGGAGGCAAGGTTGTGGTGTTTACTGGAGGAACCCATGTTGTGTTACTCTCTGGAGGCAACGTTGTCGTATTTACAGGAGGAACCCAGGTGGTATTGCTCTCAGGAGGCAAGGTTGTCGTATTCACTGGAGGTACCCATGTGGTGTTACTCTCTGGGAGGATTGTTGTTGTATTTGCCTCTTCGCTGTGAATCGCTTCAAATTTCTTTGCTATGTCCTGCAGGAACTGTGGCGTTCTCCATGCCTCGGCAAGGCCCACACTTAGTAGACAAGCTACTATAATTGTTATGACTTTCATTTTAGTTGAGACGACCTCTCATTACTACACCTTTCCGCGACAGATGATGACAATCGACTATTTGCCAAAACACAGAGACAAGTCATTTTACTAACTTTTGGAGTTGTTGCAATCTTATCGCCCGATTTCTTGATATTCACACGTCTGTTCCCGGGGAACCAATTTTTTTTTTTTTTTTTTTTTTTTTTTGTTTTTTAATTCCTCTTGTTTTCAAATTTTTGTTCGTGGCTTATAATGGTATTTCCATTCCTGTTGTTCTTATCGCACCAACATTTTAACTTAATTTTTCATTTACCAAAAAGGTCTCGATAACAATTTCTCAAGAACTATATTTTAGCTAAAAGGCTTTTTTGGGTATTCGAAATGGTATTCATTTATTTTCTTATCACCTGCAACTAAATCGATTCGAAAAGCTTTTGTTTGGAAAATAATATTTCCAAGAATTCGCAAAATATATTTAAAATCCAGCATTGTTATGTGATTATTAATGATTTTCAAACATCACCTAACCAAGTGAAAAATCAAAAAATTCCAAGGAAAATAACAATTAGTGAAGCATACGCTAAGGCGTTACTACATTATGCGTAGTTATCACATTCTTAAAACAAATAAACAAGCCATGCAGACGTTGTTTCATCAAGCAATTGCTTCAATCTGATAAGCTGTTGTTGTCAATGGAAATTTCAAGAAAATATATTTTTTCCAATTTGTTATTGTTATTGTCATTGTTATTGTGTTCTTTGCATTTTACGATAAATATTCATATCTACTGTTGTAACCGATATCGTGGAAATAACATCAGAAATTGTCTAATGAAGTGTTTATTGTTTACAGATCTAACGGTATAATTAACTGGGTAATCGATAATGATGATGGTGAAATAGAATTCATGGCCATCTAAACTATTCGAACTTACAGCCTGTTTATGTATTTCGAAAGAAAATCACCATTCCTATGTGTATTTTTTCAAAATTATTTAAATGACAGGGCTATATCGGAGAATTGAAATCCCATTTGGAGTTTTGCTACTCGGACCTAATGCCATCACCTGCATTTGGAATTTTGTTAAACATTTATTAAAGAGACGTATATGGGGGCTATAAAAAAATGCGGACTGGCGTATATTTTGTACAATTGATTCTTCAAATCGGATGATTCATGTATATGGCAGCTATAGCTATATCTGAACCCATGTTCTCCAAATTTCATAAACTTGCTTCTAGACTGAATTCGGTCGGATGTACTAAATTTCAGGACTTTTGGACTGATATTGGCCAATTAGTGCACAATTAACCCGAAATCGATATATAGGGGATCTATATCCAAATCTGAACCGATCTTGATAAAATTTGACAGAGGTATTTTCGAGCAGTTTCTGATGTCCGGTACAAATATCATTCTTATGGAATGCATATTACCCACATGAGGGACTTAAAACCCCAAATCGGATAAAACATATATAAGGGAGATATAGCTATATCTGAATCTAACCGGAATTTGGATGGATGTGTCAAAACTCAGGTCATTCGGAATGATATTGGTCATTTGGTGTACAATTAACCCGAAATCGGTTGAAGATATATGTGGGAGCTATATATAAATTTGAATAGATTCTCATCAATTTCAATTGTGTTCGTTCTTGGGCAAATAAGTGTTGTGTGGAAAATTTCATCACAATCGGATAATAAATGCGACCTGCATTTTGTTCACAAGAATACATGGACAGACGGGCTGACTGACATGCATAAATCGACTCAGAAAGTGATTCTATGAAGATCCTCAAAACTAACTATGGGGCTATCTCGTTTTCTTCTCCATGTTACAAACAAATCTGTACAGTTGATTCTGCATGTGGCCCATAAACCTGTACTAAAATCTAATATTTTGTAGGGCACGTATGGTATTCTAAAATTTTGAGTGAGAGTCGTTGGTGTAGTACAGGATATATGGGTGAGATACAAAAAACTGCAACATAGTCAAATGCCATAATTTTTACATTTTTTTTTAAAAATTCTGAATGAAAGCGAAAAATTTCGGAAATAGCATCAAATTTTAGAAATGTTTAGAATTGTTCGAATTGGTCACCTTTGCCACGAATTATGGCCTTCAAACGGCCAGTGAAACCTTTACACGCTGCCCGAATGTTGCTCTGCGATATTTTGGCCCATTCCCGGCGAAGCGCTTGCTTGAGGTGATCGACACTTTGGTATTTTTTAGTGCCAACCTTGCTTTCCAAGATACTCCAGACACAATAGTCCAACGGATTGGTATCCGGAGATTTTGGAGGCTATTGTGTGCTGGAAATGAAGCGAGGAACCTCATTTTGTAACCATTCTTGGGTGGCGCGTGCTGAGTCTTGTTGGAATGTCCAAGGTCTGCGGCCAAAATGTTTGTGTGCCCAAGGCTTTAATACACCCTCCACAATATTTTCGCGATAATATTCGGCATTTATTCTGATGCCACGGTCGATTAATACGAGCGGAGAGCGACCATCGGCTGTTATGGCAGCCCACACCATCACCATGGCCGGCGCTTGAGTTCTGGTGGCCAACCGAAGGTGCACATTTTCAACTGACCTCTTTGGCAAGTAAACACGATCATTTTGTTTGTTTACAAACTGCTGGACAACGAATGTTTTCTCATCGGAGAAAGCCAAATTCGGCAGTTCACCACTTTCGGCCAAGCAAAGCAACTCTTTAGTTCTTTTGAGTCTATTTTCTTTCTGTTGCGGTGTAAGTTCTTTTAGAAATTTCAATGGCTTTACACCGAGCTCATTTTTCAATATTTGCCGAATGGAATATTGCGATATGTTCAGCTCACGAGCCATTTTTCGGCCACTGCGACGCGGGTTCCGATCAAGTCTCTTCTTTACTTTTCGAGCCATTTCTGCTGATGTTGCTGTTCTCTTTCGTTCACTTCCTTGACGTTGGGCTACGCTACCAGTATCACGGTAACGAGCGACGGTACGAGACACAAAAGATTTATTCACATTTAAATGCTGGAGTGCTCTAACGATAGCCACTTTTGGTTTCCATTGTGATTCTTTGAGGGTTAGGTACCAAAAGGGGTTCGCAGATATATATCATCTTCACAACAGTTCTTGTGTTAGTAGTAGCCAAGTCTGAATGAAATCGGATGTTAATTTCGCGTTTTATGAGCTTCATTGATATTCAAAATTTTTACCCTTTGTGGGGGAGGTACCAAAAGGAGTGGGCCAATATATTCCCTCTTCAAACCAGGCTTTGGGTTAATAAAAATATTGTTATGTATGTAATTTGAAGATAACCGGTTGCCTTTGTCGGTTTTTATGATAGTTTTGGTTATTCAAAACTTTGACCCTTTGTGGGAAAGGTACCAGAAGGAATTGTCCGATCTCTAGCGTCTTCAGAACAGATCTTGTGTTTATGGAAATTTTGAGATGTGCCAAGTGTGAATGAAATCGGGTGTTAATTTCGTGTTTTATAAGCTACATGAATATTCAAAATGTTAACCCTTTGTGTGGGAGGTATGGGAAGGAGTGGGCCGATACTTTCCATCACACCAGACCTTGGGTTAATAAAAATATTGTGATGTTTTTAATTTGAACACAATCGGATACTTGCATCACATTTTACAAGAGTTGTTATTATTCAAAGTATTGACCCTTTGTGGGGGAGGTACTTGATGGTGTGGACCGATGTGGTCCATTTTCGCCCCTGACTTATCACTGATGCAAATATTAGGACTCGCAAAGTTGGAGCAAATTCGGATTATTCTTTCTCTTTCTGCCCAGTTGATTATTTTTACTCAAATGTTTTATGTCTGCAGGACTTTTGGTATTGAAAAAGGAGCAAGTAGGTCCACGTTTTGGTATAGGCCCCACGTAATGGTACCTCCCTATTTTCGGTATTTTGGTGATTTAAGTGACCTTATTCACCGGAATTGCTTCAAATTTGGTGTATGAAGTTCGTAATGGATATTACAGCCTATGTCCGAAAATTGTCTGTGCAGGTCTACGTCTTCGTATAGCCCCCATATAACGGTACATCCCGATATTCTGTATTTTTATGATTTCGATGACATTATTCACTGGAATTGTTTCAAATTTGGTATTTGAACTTCGTAATGGATACTACAGCCTATGATAGAAAATTGATTTTGTAGGTCCACGTCTTCGTATAGCCCCCATATAACGGTACCTTCCGATATTCGGTATTTTGATGATTTTAGCTACATTATTTACCGGAATTATTTCAAATTTCGCATTTGAAGTTCGTAATGCATACTACAGCCTATGACAGAAAATTGTCTGTGCAGGTCCTCGTTTTGGTACAGCTCCCTTTTATTCGGAATTCTGATGATTTTAGCTACATTAATCACCGATTTTTTTTTGCAAGTCTAGCATTTGAATATTGTAATGGCTGGTGACAAAAGTTGCCTATTCAGGTCCATGTCGTCGTATAGACCCCAATATAACGGCTACATTCGGTATTTTTAATATTTTAACAAAATGATTAACGGATTTTATTTTATTTATTTATTTATTTATTTTTTTTTTTTTTTTTGTTTTTGGAAAATTGCCAAATTTCAGTAGTAAGGTCTCTGTTGTTGTCTGTGTTTAAGATATGGAGGTGGTTTTGGAAATGCGTCCTGCATTTGTACGAAAACCACTAACTGACAAAAATTTGGTATTGGGTGAAGGAATAAGGCTGGAATCCCGAAATTTGTTATTAAGGGCTCTGTTGTTGTCTTTGGTTAAGACATGGAGGTGGTTATGGAAATGTGTCCTGCATTTGTACGAAAGCTACTAAATGATACTAAATTTGGTAATGGGTAAAGGAATAGGGCTGGAATCCAGAAATTTGTTATTTAGGTCTCTGTTGGCGTCTGTGGTTAAGATATGGAGATGGTTTTGGAAATGCGTCCTGCATTTGTACGAAAACCACTAACTGACAAAAATTTGGTATTGGGTGAAGGAATAAGGCTGGAATCCCGAAATTTGTTATTAAGGGCTCTGTTGTTGTCTTTGGTTAAGACATGGAGGTGGTTATGGAAATGTGTCCTATATTTGTACGAACGCTAATTAATGATACTAAATTTGGGAATGGATAAAGGAATAGGGCTGGAATCCCGAAATTTGTTATTTAGGTCTCTGTTGGTGTCTGTGGTTAAGATATGGAGGTGGTTTTGGAAATGCGTTCTATATATGTACAAAAACTACTAACTGACACTAAATTTGGTATTGGGAGATAGAGGGTATTCAAAGTTCGGCCACAGTTCAGCAAATTGTTCTAATTTTTGCTTAGGCGTCGAACCAAAAAAGATGGTTGTACCATAAGCTCCATGCTCATGAACATTCTCCCCGGTGAAAACAGTGACACCTCCCAACAGTAGACAGTGACGGTTGACCAAAATTTGTCCATTGTAAGGAGTTTCCGCGAACCTCCTTTAATTACATTTTGTTAAACCAATAAATAACTAAAAAAATATTTTTTTTATTTAACCTCCCTTTGTCATGGACTTCACTGTCCACTGTTGGAAGCCTTCACTGTATTCTTATTTTTAATATATGCCTTACTGATAATAGAAACCCCTTTCATATATCAATCTAATCTCCAAGTAGTGCTTAACATAGATAGTATTATGTCTCGAAAAGTAATTATATTCAGCTAATCGCCAATAATACAAAAATGTCGAAAATAGCAGATGTTAAGTCTATGCGTTGGTCATATAACAGCCGCAAACTGGTAAACAGATAACGAACAGCACCCGTCAGGTGTGGTCAAAATATTTATGATTCCAATACTTGAAAAATCACAGCACATGCTATTTGAAAGGCCATAAAACTGTCCGATAAGTTCTAAAGGTAGAAGGCAACGACTTGATGAAGAAAATTAAAAAAAAGAGAACATCACGTGCCAAGAGATTTCCTGACACTGCTGTCGATTTGTTGAAGGGAAAGTTTTATGGCTAGCAATAAATAATTAAATATCTTTTTTTAGCTCAAATCTGATAATAACAATTTCATTTATTGTTGATGAAAATTTTATAACAAAAATTAAATTCCACCAGTGCTGCCAGATTTATTCGCTAACACCCAAAACACCCAAAGTTTCCAAATCGTCCAGCGGCAAATGTTTGACAACCTTGATGAAATCTGGCACTGAACAGGCATAGGAATAACCCTTGATCAAATCATCCTTTTTCCAATTGATCCAATCGATGTAATCACCAATATCTTCACAAATGACATACTCCTGCATAATCTGTTCCAGCGACGCGTGAGGATTATTGACACCAATCAGAACAATACCCTTGCGGCTGGCACGATCAATCACAATGCGGAAATAGATTTTGGGTACAGGGATCAAACCATTGTTGTTTTCATCGAAAGCCAAATACAATTCCCGTTGTTCGCCATTGACATCCGGCAAAGTGGCAACACCCCAGATGCCGGTATAACAATCCACAGTCAATTGTTGATCGACAACATATTTCCTTACCCCATCCTCAACGCGTTCCCAGTTTCCAGCATTAAAGGCCTGCCATTGGGGAGCGGCATTGACAAAGTAAAAGGTTGCCCTCTGGGGAGAACCAAAAATGAAATCCACTTTGGCCGCCATGTGGCCGCGGGCCAAATAAATATTGGAACCCTCAAAATACGGCGAGGCATCCATGCCCAAAATATTGCTAATGGTTTGGTTCTGTTGGACCTGAGTATAAAGTTGATCGACATTTTTGCCAGCATAGAAGTCGCCTGGTTTAAAACTGGGACGATTGACCGAACGCTGATAGCCATTGCTGGAAGGGGTCAACACATGATGGACATAACGTGTGACTTCATTGATCTCATCATGGCAAATATCCATGGTTTTCAGAAAGCCCTCACTGACATCAAATCCCACCTCCAAGAGATCGGTGCCGCCATTACAACTGCGTCCAGTCCTGCGTGCGGTATAGACAGGCCAGGCACTGCAACTGAAATCGCTGAAATTGTATTTCTGGCCTTCCACCAAATAGGTGAAGCCACCCAGGCACTGAGCCGACAACTTCACCTGATTTGTAAAGGGAGCAACAAACGACTTGGAGCAGTACATATCAATCGCATCGCCGGATTTCAATTCCACCACACCACTGCTGTTGGGTTCCAGCCATTCAAGTGTACCGAAATTGGCAAATAAAGGAGCTGGATCCTTCAAATCTCCGGTGACACGGAATGAACAGCCCTCATCAGCCACATCTGGATCTTGGGTAATACCCAAAATTCCAGATGTTTCCAAATCCTCCAAGGGCAAATGTTTAACCACCTTAATGAAATCAGGCACCGAACAGGCATAAGAATAACCCTTATACAAATCCTCCTTGGCCCATTGAATCCAATCGATCTTATCACCAATATCTTCACAGATCAAATATTCCTCCTTGATTTGCTGCAGCGAGGCATGGGGATTATTAACACCAATCAGGACAATACCTTTGCGCGTGGCACGATCAATAACCACACGGAAGTAGATTTTCGGTACGGGGATCAAACCATTATTGTTTTCATCAAAAGCCAAATACAACTCCTGTTGGGTGCCATTCACATCGGGCAAGGTCGATACTCCCCAGATGCCAGTGTAGCAGTCAACGGTTAAATTTTCCTTGGCCACATATTTGCGGACACCATCCTCAACCCTTTCCCAGTTTCCACCATTGAAAGCCTGCCACTGGGGGCCCACATTGACAAAGAAGAAGGTGGCCTTTTGGGGAGCTCCAAAAATGAAATCTGTCTTAGCAGCCATGTGTCCTCGGGCCATATAGATGTCAATGGAATCATTGAAGTACGGCGAGGCATCCATGCCCAAAATTTTACTGATGGTTATGTTCTGTTGCACTTTGGTATACAGGTTATCCACATTCTTTCCCTTGTAAAAGTCACCCTCAATGAAACGTGGCCTAGCCACCGATCTCTGATATGAGGCACTGGATGGGTTCAAGACATGGTGGACATAACGGGTAACTTCATTCACTTCATCGTGACAAATATCCATGGTCTGTAGGAAACCATCACTGACCTCAAAACCAACCTCCAAAAGATCCGTACCACCACTGCAATTGCGTCCAGTTCGGCGTGCGGTATATATCGGCCAATCTGTGCAGCTAAAATCGCTGAAGTTATATTTTTGGCCTCCAACCAGATAAGTGAAGCCACTGTGACATTCCGCCGAAACTTTGGTCCTATTTTCAAAAGCACCCACAAATGACTCCGAACAATACATATCCAATGACTCTCCAGATTTTAATTCCACCACACCACTGGGATTGGGCACAACCCATTGAAGATTTCCCGCATGGTTAAAGAGTGGAGCTGGGTCCTTTAAATCTCCTGTGACCCGGAATGAGCAGCCCTCGTCTCCTTTATTTTCCTCAATTCCCAGAATTCCTGATGTTTCCAAATCCTCCAAGGGCAAATTTTTGACAACCTTAATGAAATCAGGCACTGAACAGGCATAGGAGTAGCCTTTATACAAATCCTCCTTGGCCCATTGAATCCAATCGATTTTATCTCCAATATCTTCACAGATCACATATTCCTCCTTGATTTGCTGCAGCGTGGCATGGGGATTATTAACACCAATCAGGACAATACCCTTGCGCGTAGCACGATCAATAACCACACGGAAGTAGATTTTGGGTACGGGAATCAATCCATTGTTGTTTTCATCAAACGCCAAATACAACTCCTGTTGGGCGCCATTCACATCGGGCAAGGTCGATACTCCCCAGATGCCAGTGTAGCAATCGACGGTTAAATTTTCCTTGGCCACATATTTGCGGACACCATCCTCAACCCTTTCCCAGTTGCCACCATTGAAGGCCTGCCATTGAGGGCCGACATTGACAAAGAAGAAGGTGGCCTTTTGGGGAGCTCCAAAAATGAAATCCGTCTTGGCAGCCATATGTCCTCGGGCCATATAGATGTCAATGGAATCATTGAAGTACGGTGAAGCATCCATACCCAAAATTTTGCTAATGGTTATGTTTTGTTGCACCTTGGTATACAGGTTATCCACATTCTTACCTTTGTAAAAGTCACCCTCAATAAAACGTGGCCTAGCCACAGATCTCTGATATGAGGCACTGGATGGATTCAAGACATGATGGACATAACGGGTAACTTCATTGACTTCATCGTGACAAATATCCATGGTCTGTAGGAAACCATCACTGACCTCAAAGCCAACCTCCAATAGATCCGTACCACCATTGCAATTGCGTCCAGTTCTACGTGCTGTGTAAACTGGCCACTCTGTGCAGCTGAAATCGCTGAAGTTGAACTTTTGACCACCAACCAGATAAGTGAAGCCACTCTGGCATTCGGCAGAGACTTTGGTCCTATTTTCAAAGGCACCCACAAATGATTCCGAACAATACATATCCAATGACTCTCCAGATTTTAATTCCACCACACCACTGGGATTGGGCACAACCCATTGAAGATTTCCCGCATGGCTAAAGAGTGGAGCTGGATCCTTCAAATCTCCGGTGACACGGAAAGAGCAGCCCTCATCTCCTTTATCTTCCTCAATTCCCAGAATTCCTGATGTTTCCAAATCCTCCAAGGGCAAATGTTTGACAACCTTAATAAAATCAGGCACCGAACAGGCATAGGAGTAACCCTTATACAAATCCTCCTTGGCCCATTGAATCCAATCGATCTTATCACCGATATCTTCACAGATCAAATATTCCTCCTTGATTTGTTCCAGCGAGGCATGGGGATTATTAACACCAATCAGGACAATACCTTTACGTGTAGCACGATCAATTACCACACGGAAGTAGATTTTAGGTACTGGGATCAAGCCATTATTGTTTTCATCAAAAGCCAAATACAACTCCTGTTGGGTGCCATTCACATCGGGCAAGGTCGATACTCCCCAGATACCAGTGTAGCAATCAACGGTTAAATTTTCCTTGGCCACATATTTCCTCACACCATCCTCAACTCTTTCCCAGTTGCCACCATTGAAAGCCTGCCACTGGGGGCCCACATTGACAAAGAAGAAGGTGGCCCTTTGGGGAGAACCAAAAATGAAATCCGTCTTGGCAGCCATATGACCACGGGCCATATAGATATCAATGGAATCATTGAAGTACGGCGAGGCATCCATACCCAAAATTTTACTTATCGTAATATTCTGTTGGACCTTGGTATACAGATTATCCACATTCTTGCCTTTGTAAAAGTCACCCTCTATAAAACGTGGTCTAGCCACAGATCTCTGATATGAGGCACTGGATGGATTCAAGACATGGTGGACATAACGGGTAACTTCATTCACTTCATCGTGGCAAATATCCATGGTTTGCAGGAAACCATCACTGACCTCAAATCCCACCTCCAAAAGATCCGTACCACCACTGCAAGTGCGTCCAGTCCGGCGTGCGGTATATATCGGCCAATCCGTACAACTAAAATTGTTAAATGGACGTATAATACCATCCACCAAAAAGTACAGGCCCTGCAGACATTGAGCAGTAATTTTCGTCACATTTTCATAGGGACCCACAAACGATTCACTGCAGTACATATCAATGTAATCTCCATTGCGGATTTTCACAATTCCCTCAGGATTTGGTACAAGCCATTCCAGGGCACCACTCTTCGAAAATAGGGGAGCTGGATCATTTAAGTCTCCGCTAACACGAAATGAGCAATCACCATAAACCACAACTCCTCCGTACTCGGGGCCAGGACCCTCTGTTACAGGAGGGCTGGAAGTTGTATTCGCCACAGGGGGTTTAGCAGTTGTGGTGCTATTGTTTGATCCTGGACCCTCAGTGGTCCAAGGATTCTGGGTGGTATTACCAGGAGCCTCCGTTGTTAGGGTGGTGTAAACTGGTGGGATGCCTGTAGTGGTTGTTGTTAAATCAGGACCCTCCGACACATAGTTATTCTCCCGTTTTTGAATTATTCCCGCCTGAACCACCGCACTCAGGCACAGTAGACTAGCTACCCAAAATGTTAAAGTTTTCATTACTTCGCAGTTTTTCTTCGGTTATTTTTTTCTCTCTCTGTCTTTCAAATTTCTTTAACTTTCGCCACCTATAGCGGCCAAAAGTTGGCACTTAACTAATTTCTTCAAATGTCCCCAACGCCCATTATAATCAGGCTTTTGCAAATATTTTTAATATTTAATCAAAAAGTGTTATTTTTTTATAGATTTCTAATATCAGTTCATCGCTGAGTGATTTAGAGCATCCTGATTAGATCGGCGGTCATATACCACCAAAGTCTTTTGAGGCAACATGCCGTGATTTTTGGTTTTGTTTGCGTTCGTACATTCGCTTTGGTACGTAATTTGTGTCACAATTTGTGGCGATAATCAACCCCTTACTTACAATGTCAGCGCTATAAATTAATGACGAGTTCGATAAGTTTTAGCAGTGGCTAGTTATATTTTGAGAAATTCATGAAATATGGGAAAAGTGTCATACAGCGGAGTTTTTTTGCACCTCAGATTGTAATGGGTTTCAATCTTAGATCGTCAATAAAGATGGTATGCCATTTAGATATTTTTATACCCTCCACCTTGGAAAGGAGGGTATATTAACTTTGTCATTCCGTTTGTAACATGTCCAAATATTCGTCGTAGGTCCGATAAAGTATATATATATTCATAATCAGGATAAAATTCTGAGTCGATTTAACGATGTCCGTCTGTCTGCCTGTCTGTCCGTCTGTCTGTTCTTCTGTTGAAATCACGAAACAGGCCACATTATTTGACGTAGAGCGTCAAAATTTAGCAGAATAATTTGTATTGTGTCTAGGATAGTTGGTATCGAATATGACATATATCGGTCCACGTTTTGGTATAGTCCCCATATAACGGAACCTCCCGATATTCGATATTTTGATGATTTTTGACACATTTTTCACGGATTTGTCTAAAAATTGGTATTTGTAGGTCATAATGGATTCCAGCTTCGGTGGCGAAACGTTGTATGTATATGTCCACGTTTTGGTATAGCCCCATATAACAGTACCTCCCGATATTCGGTATTTTGATGATTTTTGCCGCATTTTTTCATGGATTTGTCTAAAAATTAGTATTTGTTGATCATAATAGGTTCTAGCTCCGGTGGAGAAACATTGCATGTATAAGTCCACGTTTTGGTATAGCCCCCATATAACGGTACCTCCCGATATTCGCTATTTTTAATGATTTTTGCCACATTTTTTCACGGATTTGTCTGAGAATTGGTATTTGTAGGTCATAATGGGTCCTAGTTCGTGTGGCGAAAGATGGCATGTATTGGTCCCATTTTTGGTATAGCCTCCATATAAATGTACCTCTCGATATTCGGTATTTTGATGATTTTTGCCACATTTTTTCATGGATTTGTCTAAAAATTAGTATTTGTTGGTCATAGTGGGTTCTAGCTCCGGTGGCGAAACATTTCATGTATTAGTCCAAGTTTTGGTATAGCCCCCAATATAACGGTATCTTCCAATATTCGGTACTTTGATGATTTTTGCCACATTTTTTCACGGATTTGTCTAAAAATTGGAATTAGTTGGTCATAATGGGTCCTAGTTCGTGAGGCGAAACATTGTATGTATAAGTCCACGTTGTGGTATAGTCCCCATATAACGGTACCTCCCGATATTCGGTATTTTTAATGATTTTTGCCACATTTTTTCACGGATTTGTCTGAGAATTGGTATTTGTAGGTCATAATGGGTCCTAGTTCGTGTGGCGAAAGATGGCATGTATTGGTCCCCTTTTTGGTATAGCCCCCATATAACGGTAACTCCCGATATTCGGTATTTTGATGATTTCTGCCGCATTTTTTCATGGATTTTTCTAAAAATTAGTATTTGTTGGTCATAATGGGTCCTAGTTCGTGTGACGAAACATTGTATGTATAGGTCCACGCTTTGGTATATATAACGGTATCTCTCAATATTCCGTATTTTGATGGTTTTTGACACATTTTTTCACGGATTTGTCTAAAAATTGGAATTAGTTGGTCATAATAGGTTCTAGCTCCGTTGTCGAATCATTGTATGTATAGGTTCACGTTTTTGTATAGCCCCATATAGCGGTACCTCCCGATTTTCGGTATGTTGATGATTTTTGCCACATTTTCCCACGAATATGTCTAAAAATTGGTATTTGTGGGTCATAATTGGTTCTAATATTTCCATTACCCTACGGTGGAGGGTATTAAAAGTTCGGCCCGGCCGAACTTAATGTTTTTTACTTGTTAAAAACTCACTGCTCTTCTCTATGAAGACTCGAGACCCATAGCTCGTCTATTCAGATTCCTTGGACCTCCTGGTCATCTACATTGACGCTCAATCCTTATGGACTCTCTCTCTCTCTTGTCGTTCATCTATATATTTTAATAAAAGAGTAAAGTAATTGACTGACTGACATAACGATTCATCAAGGCCAAAAGAAACAGCTGAAGCAAGAGTCTTAAAATTGTATGTTTGGGTCACTCTTGATCCGAAGACGTCAAATAAGGCGGGGTTTTTGGAAATTCTTATTAGAAGGGTACGAAAAGGTAACTAAAAGGTACAAAAATTATGTACCCTTTGTATTTGAGGAAGCAGTAGAACTAGAACTCTTAAATTTGGAATGAAAGTCGCTGATGAAGCGTATGAAGGATGTACCAAAGGGTTTTTAGAAATTCCCACTAAAGGTGTACTAAAACTACTAAATTGTACTACATTTGCTACAATTTCGTATTATGTGAACGGTTTGAGCTAAAAACTTGAAATTTTTAATGGGAATCAAGTTTGAGGAGTAGAGTCGCTATAAGGAGGTAGTTTTAGAAATGAGTACTCATATACACGAAAAGTACTTAACGGTACAAAATTTGGTACAATTTGAATTTTGAGGAACGGATGGTGCTGAAATGCAGAAATTAGTACTTATTCCAAATTTGTAAATTTGCACGAAAAGTGCAAAATAGTATTAAATTTGGTACAATTTCAGTTTGGGTGAACCGATAGAGCTGGAATACTGAAATGTTCAAATAAGGTTAAAATGATATAAAGGAAGTTTTGGAAATTCGTACTTTAGTGTACTAAACAGTACTAAATTTGATACTATTTAAATTTGTATCCCGAAATTTGGAAATAAGATTAATGTTGCATTGGATATAGAGGTAGTTTTGGAAATTTTTACTAATACGTACTTAAATGTACTACATTTGGTACAATTTACATTTGGACGAACCGATATGGATGGAATCTTGAAAATTTAAATCAAAATTACTGTTGAAGTGTAGAATTGGGATATGGAGTTTTTTTTCGAAATTTGGGCTTTTGTGTACTAAAAGGTACTTAATTTGAAACAATTTAAATTTTGGGAGAACCGGTAGAGTTGAAGTCATGAATTTGTGAATAAGATTCCAATTAGATTAAATGATGTTTGTAGTTAGGAAACTTTGGTACAATTTAACATTTGGGAGAAACGGTAGAGTTGGAATCCTAAAATTTGGAAACAAGATTGCTATTGCACTGTTGGATTGGGTTATGTAGGAAGTTTTGGAAATTTGTTCTTACGTGTACCTAAAGGTACTAAAATCAGTACAATTTTAATTTTTGAGAGAAGCGGAATAGGATTCCAATTAGATTAAATGATGTTGGCAGTTAGGAAACTTTGGTACAATTTAACATTTGGGAGAAACGACAGATTTAGAATCCTGAATTTGGAAATAAGATTGCTATTACATTGTAGGATTGGGGTATGTAGGAAGTTTTGGAAACTCATACTTTTGTGTACTAAATGGTACTTAATTTGATACAATTTGGATTTGTGTGAACCGATAGAGCTGGTATCCAGAAATTTGAAATTAAGATTACTGTTAGAGCGTAGGATTGGTATATGGAGGTAGTTTTCGAAATTTGTTACTTTTGGAAATTCGTACTTAAATGAACTAAATTTGGTACAATTTCGATTTAGGTGAACCGACAGCGTTGGAATCCTCGAATTTGCAGTGTAGGAAAGGCATATGGAGGTGTAGTTTTTGAATTACGTACTTATGTGTACGAAATGGTACTAAATTTGGTACAATTTAAATTTTGGAAAACCGGTAGAGTTGGAATCCTGAAATTTTGTAAATAAGATTACTGCTGGAGTGTAGAATTGGGATATGGAGGTATTTTTCGAAATTTGTAATTATGTGTACTAAATAGTACGAAATTTAGTGCCAATTGGATTTGGGCGAACTGATAGACCTGGAATTCTGACCTTGGGTAATGAGATTTCTATGGTATTGTATGATTGAGTTATTGGGTGTCGTAATTCGTTCTTATGCGTACTAATTTTGGTACAATTTGAATTTGTGTGTACTTATAGAACTGGAATCACAAAATTTGGTACTGAGATCTCTCTTGGTGTCTGTGGTTACGATATGGAGGTAGTTTTGAAAATGTGTACTATGATTGTTCGAAAAGTGCTAAGTTGTACTAAATTGGCTATTGGGTGAAGGGATAGAGCTGGAATCCCGAAATTTGATATTGAGGACCATGTTGGTTTCTGTTGTTTTGATATGAGGGTGCTTTTGAATTGTGTACTATAATTGATCGAAAAGTAGTATATATACTATAGTACTATATTTGTATTGGGTGAAGGTGTGGAATCCTAAAATTTAAAATTGGGGTTATTGTGGGAGTGTAGGTTTAGGTCATGTAGGCTAAGCTTCGGAGATTCGTTATTATGTGTACTAAATGGCCCTAAATTTGAAACAATTTGGATTTGGGTGAACCGATAGGGCTAGAAGCCTGAAATTAGGAAATACGATTTCTATGGGATTGTATGATGTAGATTGTTATGGAAATTCGTACTTATGTGTACTAAATTTGATACTCGAAATTTTATATTAATGTCACTCTTGGTGTCTGTGTATAATTGTTCGAAAAGTACTAAGTTGTACTAAATTGGGTATTGGGTGAAAGGATAGAGTTGAAATTTGATATTGAGGTCTCTGTTGGAATCTGGTACCGAGATCTAGTGGAGGTTTCACAAATGTGTACTATAATTGTTCGAAAAGTGATGATGGTTCTAATCTGGTTCACTGTTGGTGTCTAGAATAGAAAT